GGTGTTTATATATCTGCCTGTAATACAGTTCTTTCACCTACTTGCAACCCACACACAGCTGAGCCAGCATGTGTTCCTCTCTCGGAATCACTACTAACATCAGGTGAATCACAAATCTCCAACCCCAGCTAAGTCATTTCTGGACCTGGCTTCTCTGAAGGACACTGTGCAATGTCTATTATCTGTAATAATTCATTTACTATATTACATTAATTAAACTAATAATAATTATATCATATTGTTTATTGTTTCAATTCTAAACAGTTGCCATAATAAACCTGAGCCTTTAAAAAGTGCTGTTTGCAATATGTTCAGAAAGTCATGTTGCAATCTTGGAAGAAGAATAAAAACGAATTGAAAGTATATTTTTCAGGCTTGTAATTATTTCTAGTAACAATGTCAAAAACCTTCTCCAAAAATAATTCTTTTTGTTCCTTTTTAAAAAAATCTGAATTAAAAAAAAAAGAAAACTACCAACCAAATCAAAGTCCCATTCCTGCAAATTTTTTAGCAAACAGTTGGTGGAACATCATTGTTTTCACTTGTTATGAGCTCTTAAAAATAAGACAATCACAACATATTTTTATTATTGAGAATGAGGAAGAGTAAAAAAAGAATAATATCAAAAATATACCAAATTGGTCAGCAAAAATGACAATTTTTCAGAATGAGTTATGACATTACAAGCCAATATTAAAAATCTGTATCATTAAGTATCACCATATCAGCATCATGATTGCCAGATATATTTTGATTCAAACTGTAAAACAGTCATTTTGAACTCTGCACCCGGATTGCATTGTGCATGAAACTCAGTCGTGTTAGAGGTGTGAGATTGTGTGTGTGTATATATATATATATATATATATATATATATATATGAGCAGCATTCCTTTTATGCATATTTATATTGAGTATAACAGACAAGGAATATTGTTTACAGTTTCTACACACTATTTTTATGAAAGAAAAATTGTAAGAACACTGAGAAAACTGAGTGAACTAAACTGACAAAATATTCCTTGTCCTTTCTATTCAAAACAACTTGATGAGTCAAAATATAACCAGCTGCCTAATAAGGTGTTGGCCCTTCATGTACTCTCAAAACCCCTCTTACTCAATCAGACATAGACTCCAAAAGACCTCTAAGAGTTTTCTTTGAGATCTGGTACCAAGATGTCAACAATAGATTCTTTAACTGTTGAAAGCTAAATAGTATTTGATTCTGCAGAGCAAATTTGTTGGTCCAACACCTCATAAGTACTCCACAATGGCATTAAGGTCTGAGGTGTTTAATGGCCAGGACAACAAAGTGAAGTCTTCATATTCCTGAAATTATTTCCATGTTGCATTGTTCTTCTGGGAGATGACTTATCATAAAAGACTTTTTTCATGAAAGTGTACATGTCCTTCAATGATATTAAGGTAGGTGATATATGACAAAGTACCTTTCAATGTGACTGTTAAGTAGGACTAATGCAAGGGTCTCATGCACCCTCCCCATATATCTATGATATGGTACCCCCCCCACTTTTCATGTGGTAGTATTCATATAAAATATATCAATTTTCATGTGGTCGTATTCATATAAAAATACAAATTTTATTGTAACTTTATGTACAATACACAATATAGGTGAACAATTTAATGAGAAAAATTGAAAATAAATACAAATTATCTAAATACAAATTAAAGACATGTCATAATATATCATTCCATCTAAAATAAATCAACAATGTTTTGCAGCAATTTTTAACATCAACTTGAAATTTTTCTTGTTAAAAAGTTGAATAATTTTAACACATTCAACATTATGGATAAAAAATATAATGATTTTTGTATCGTGATTTTTCAAGACTTAGCACGAACAAAACAAATTCACGTATTTGGACAAAAAAAACAAAAAACCCCAGAAACCATGAAAATGTTTAATCCTTTAACAGTCAGTTGTACATAGTTTAATTTGTAACATAAACATAGGTAGAAGAAAACAAATGTTGATAAGAGAGAAAGGGTCACAAAACACTTCGTTCCCCTCTCCCCATCGCTTGTGGTTATGAACTGGCTCTGATGTTAGGACCCAGTTTTTCCAAAAAACCTCACAATACTTCCATCTGCTTGTTTTCCCTATTATTCATCCTAAATTGTCACATTCTCAAACCGCTATCATGTCTGGTGTCTTTTCTAGAGAATTTCACACTTGATAATTGTCAATTCTTTCTTATGATACTGTTTAATGAATTAGTGTATTTTCCTGCACTATTTGAGCCAATGTATACTAGCTTAAAATATTAACAAAAATTATATTTTAAACTAGCTTAAAAGCCGCAGTCTGTGCAGACTTTTAAGCTAGCTCCCATGGAGGGCTAATTGGGCCTCCATCCCAAAAATAAAGGGATCTCTGGTCCAGCTCAGAAAACAGCAATGATTATTTTGAAGAAATAACTTTGAATTCCTCAATTCACTCCATGGAACATCAAAATTTCACTTTAACTCTGATTCAGGTTATAAGTCCAATTCCAGCCAAAAGATCTATAACTTCAAATTCGTCCATTGTGTGTATGTGCATCCATAAAATGTGGACATTACATTTTTGTTTGAGAGTTCTAAAAGACTATCCATGGTTGTTTTTATATCTGTTATGCAGTTTGTTCCCACACTTGTAAAACCGGGTGCAGTTGGGAGGTGATGGAATTCTGAATTCAGTGGTCAGGAATTCATTTCAGGTCTCAATCCTGCACCTGTCTCCTTAATGATCTGGTGTGACATTGAGTGCAAATTCTGTTCTGGCAAGACATTACACAAAATATGATCTTGCCTCTTACCACATCAATATTGCATGTGACCAGTAGTGAAAGTGCCTTTTGGTAGTGAATGTGTCAAAAATAAAATAAAACTCGTAATCTTATCTATACAATCCCAATACATAACAGATGAAATGGTTAATCTATATATAAAACTCCGATTTCTATTAGTCTGTCCATCCATCACACTCTCTAAGATAGCCATATATTGACTGATTGAAACCAAATTTGAAAAAGAAGCGTAAACAGGTAAGGGGTGGGGACAAAGTACAGTTGGTTTTACTAAGTACAATAAATTGTCATTAATTTTTTGGGGGAAAAATTAAGTTTTATTATTTAACATACAAAATACTCCCACTATTTTAAAAACAATTTAATCAACGATACTAAATATGGTGAGAATTTCAACACGCATCAGTCTGTTGCAAAAAATTATAGTATTTTAAAATTTTGTACTGCAAAACATTACATTTTCTGAGTAACAGGAATTTTAATAAAGAACTATCAATTTAAATTTGTTTAAATCAAAGTATTTCACATATTTTCAAAGTTGTACTGTTAAAGAGATTACTCCTACTTTCTAACTTTAAATTGTTTAAAAATAAAAAAAAAACAAAAGATCAACACACAAACAAAAAATAAAATGTTATAAGAGGCAAGTGAGGAATACATGTAAATATATCAAACGGATTCCCTATCATAATACTTTGAAATAGATTCTTGCCTCCAGTCCCCATTTAAGTCAGTGGTTCCCAAACTTTTGGGGGTTGGTGCCCCCTAGCACACCAAAACACAACCCTAATGCCCCCCTATTTATAGACAACCTCTCACAAATGTATAGTCAACCTTTGATTGGATTTTCTTGTCTTGCATATCAAATGTGTGTCTTAGTATTTCCCATAATAATTCTTATATAAATGGGACACACTGTAAAGTGAAAGCAAAATACACTAATGTAAAAAGTGGGTGTGGTGTAGCTTGTAGTTCAGATGTGCCACAGCGACCCACTGGTTGACTACTTTTTTTTTTCCTCACTACCCACCAGTGGGTACTACCTACTTTCAGAATTGCTAGTTTAAGTCAACCGATGAAATATACACAATGAAAAATATGTTCATGCATCTAAGAACATGATTAAAGAATAAAAAAAAATAGTTGAATGAAAATTTTGAGCAATTTAACTTGGTATGTCTTATTTGAAATGTGTATATTGGACAAGAATCAGAGTTAAACAAAAATAAATATGGTCGACACTCTTTCCAAGTCTTTTGAACAGGAGTAGGGGTTTATCCCTTGTTTCCTGTTTTGGATTGGGCTTCTGATTCTTAACATTTCATTCTCTTCCACTCCAAGTAACCCTAGTGGCATTATCATCTTCACTTAGGTGAAATGATTAAAAAATAAAACAAAAAAAATAACCCCTTCCTGGTGTAGACATATATGTTTTTACTGAAAGTATCTTTTTTTTTTTTAGACATGGATGAATAAACATGCCCAAAACAATGTTCAAAAACCAGCTACAGACGTGTTTATATGTCGATCTTGATTCTTTTTATGCCCTTCTGAGCTTGAAATGAGTCCAATTGTCAACTCATACATCTAGTAGAGGTGTTAGCCACCCATCAAATACTTGTAGGTGTCTCCGTTTTTTAGTTACTATATTAAAAAAACAGATAAAAAAATTTGAAAATAAAACATTTTTACCAAAATAATTGGTGGGGAAGGGGTTAAATAAATATAACTAAAAAAACAAAAAATAAAAACAGATACCAACAAAGAATAAGTACAAATAAATTATTTCATTTAGTTTATTAAGTAAAATAAGAGTTTTCAAAAATTTTATTGAACAATAGCAGACATAGAATGAAATGAGATCAATAAAGAAAATTTACATTCTACAAAACAAATTGGGGAAATATTCTAAAGAGATTAACAGAATCATTGTAAGAACAAATCAAAATAAAAACTAAAATTCAGGAAATGTCTTTAATCTCACTGACATTTTCATGACATCCCAAACTAAACTCGCTAATTTCATTACAAGAGAACTTGATGCTGATAACAGCAAAGAAAACAAGTTTGTGTTTACAATTCCTTTTCAGAAAAAAATATTAGTGTTAAAATGGTTTTAATTTAAAGGTTGATTGGAGTTTACTAAAAAAACAAAAAACAAAAAAAACACTGGTAAATTGAGAGTTAGTCAATATGAATGGCCATTGCTCGAGCCATCAACCGGTCAGTCATTGGGGCATTTTCCTTCAGAGATTTCCTTTCATACAACAAACTTCTGTAAAAAAAAAAAAAAAAAACAAATTGGATGATTATAAGTGAACAAAGTGAGAATAAAGTCAAAATCTTTATATTCAGATGGCAATTGTAGGAAAGAAATGTTTAAGGTAGAAGATAAAATTTTTACAATCACACACACAAAATTTCACATATAATCATTCACAATTGCTTAAAGTGGGAAGCTACCAGTCAACATGTACATCTATATCTACACTTATGTTTATACCTACAAAACACTGTCCCCAATACTGAGCACTTCGCCCCATATATATATATATATATATATATTTAAAGGAATATTTATTTATATATAATATTAATAATAATATATATTTTATATAATATATATTTTTTAGTATATATTTCATATATATATAATATAAATGTTATAATATATATAATAGTACATGTGTGTGTATATATATATATATATATATATATATATATATATATATATATATATATATTATTAATAATCTTGAACAAAAAAAAAACTTAAGTCATAAGCAATAATCATGTATACAATAGCCATGTTCTCTTTGTAAAAATAGCCTCAATTCCTGATTAATATTTTCTGTCTTATCTGTATGATTACAGTAAACAAAAATGTGGAGGTCTTTAATAAATTCTATTCTATCTTGAGTTACAATTATCAAGTGATAAAATAAAAAGCAACTTTAATTTATTTGAGCCATTGTATCCAAAAAAGAAGTTTAAAAATAATTGTTTAACTACAAAATATGTAAGAGAATCTAAGGACACTTCAAATATATTTTAAGCTAACCTATATTATTTCCATAATTCTGACAAGTGATTGATATTGGTGAATCTTCCTGGTTAAGCCCCATTCAGCTAATCAACCATGTCTTATAACTGGCAATGCTATTGTAAACATGACATCAACATTAAATGATAATTGCCTTCATGTTTCAGTTAACAACATATAAAGTAGGTAAAAGTTTTACTAAGAATAGTCCATAAATCTTATTCTTCAACCTGCCCTCCTTATAATATATTTACATTTAGTTCTCATAATTTGTACATTTAGCATTGTTGGGGACGTGCAGAGTTTGTTAATTATGTTAGAAAGAATCAGAAGGAATTTGAGTGACTTTCTGCATCCCAAACAAATAAATAAATGAAATTTAAAATGCAATTGAAAAACGAGACATATTCAATTAGAAATCAATACAACATTTATATACAAATCAAACAATATACAGACAGGATAATTGATGTATGTTGTGTAGGCGAAATGTGTATACGGTTTCTTCAGATTTCAGAAAATCTCTCTTCGTAATTGTTCGTTCATTTGGAGTATTTTTTGTTTGTGTCGATATATGCGATTGTTGATATTAAGTGTCTTATAGAAAGAGTTTTTTAAGAGTGATCTATCTTTAACTGTAATATTTTTCTAAGGTCGTTCGTTCGTAGAGTTTACTTAATAAGTAGTGAATTTGATTCACTTTAGATAAGCAAAGTTGAGAAATGATGTACACAGAGTTGATTGAATCTTGATCGAGTATGAGTCAGCGATGTATCTTTTTGCGCGGCAAAATTGTGATTTGTAGTGACGTGGAGTATTTTGGAAGGTTCTCTGTAAATGCGTGTTACTGACTGCATAAAGTTGGTAATTGTCTTTAACATCTGGTCAGCAATGACTAAGACGGAGTCGGTGAATGTTACATCTTGAAACTTGGTAATTACTGCTCCTCGGAAGGTTCACACGTTTTCTGTTTATATAATCACTGAGTGGCTCCTAGCATAAGAGTGGGAAAACAGCTTAGTCGCGTGCAGGTGGTTTGATTGGTCGGAACTGACCAATCAGCAAGCCAGATTGGAGGTGATTGACCAATGAATACTTGTTATATTGTCTGAAGGTAGAATATGGCTTACTAGATAGGAAGAGTGTATTTCCTACAAAGAGGTAAGGCTGGTTGTGTTGTGGGAGATTCTACAGCATCTTCTCTTTTAAGGTGAATAAATCCTTTCTAAAGGGCGTACTGTCCCATTTCAATTTATTTATCTACCCAAAAGAAAATCCTGGAAACCAGTTAAATGACTGGATATCAACCCATGTTCCCCAACTGTCACTAAAGAATAATTGACATTGACATACACACTTTACCAATTCCATTCAGGATGAGGGAAAGACACCCAATAAATATAGTATGTTGTTGAACTGTGTGAGCTCTTGCATCTTTGAATATATTGATGAAAGAAAATATTTTGAATCAGCTTTATATAGACTGGACAGTCTATATGAAAAAATCTCTTATGATTCTCTGAGTTTTTGCCACCTTGTAGACGTAGATCTCCGTCTTATCTCAGTATAAGAGAACTTTTGTACCTTCACACACATACATCAAGTTAATCATTTCATATGAAGAAAAGAAACAAAAATTGATGCAACAAACCCAAATATCAAATTAGTCTTGGGTATTTATCACCATAAACTTTAAATATTTGACTTTGTTTCTGACAAACTTTTATTGTTCCTGTAAATTTAAATTAAGGAACTCTAACAAGTGATGGAGAAAAAATGATTTATTTGAACCACTTTGTTCTTCACATGAATTTCCAGTGTAATTTGGAGAAACATGTGAAACATTCAGGAGTGTTGTCTTCAGGTCTGAGTGGGTTTTAAACTTTTGTTAGAAAAAGGTGTTGGAATTTTATTCTTACATCCTCTTCTGTTTCTGTTGTCACTATCTTGCCAACTAGAAAAATAAGGATGCCAGTTTAACAAGTGTCCATCACACAATTCATTAGGGTCTTCTTCATTGTTTTCATTATAGGCACAATTCTCATCTCTTCACCATGACTGCTGGAGTATTTGGTAACGAGACATTAGAAAACTGTCTGCATATAATTTCTCTTAGTTCTTTGAACCTGGCACATAGTGTTAATTCTCTGATAATGGCTGTCACTAGTCATTTATTCTCTGGTGTCAAATTTTCACTTTTTAATTCTCTGTAGTCAAGTGCCAGTTCCATTAACACTTCCTGTTAATGAATCATATTGAAATGTTTCCTTTATTCAATTAAAATAATCTGCATTATGGCAAAAGAAAATACTGTACATTTTCCATCAATTTTCTATTACATGTTTGTTCTTCTAAAGACCTTGTTCATAACTCCCATTAAGTTTAAGAAATGTTATTGTTGAATTTAAAATCACTTTAAATACTTGATTTCTTTAATTGGAGTTCAAAAAATATATTTTTTTATTCATCAAGTGTTAAGCTTAACATTTTTATTGGCTCTCTAGAACAGGTTGAGTATCCTTTTATCTGAAATTCCAAAATCTGAAAGTTTTTCAGGTGATGACATGACTTGCCACAAGTGGAAAATTTCAGAAGACTCTGGGAAGGTTCCTAGGTGATGTGCAGCTGTTCTAAGTGACCTCATCTGCCATGAGCATTACATGATGAGTGTCATTACCTGTATCTGTATGTACACAAAGTTTATTAAATTTTATATAAAACTACTTTCAGGCTATATGTTATTTATAGAAAACTACCTTCAACATATATGCATAAGCTGTGTTATGAAATGTAAAGGGATATCATGTTTATGCTTGGGTTCCATTCCCAAGCTGACCCCATTTTATAGATTCTATATACAAATGAAATAGCCAGTATTCCAAATTCTAGAAAAATCTGAAAACCAAAGCACTTCCAGTCCCAAGAATTTCATATACAGGATTCTCAACCTGTAATGAGGAGTTATGTTCAGAAATTATTCCATTTATGACCTTACATTACTTTTCTTAATCTTCAGCACTTCTTGCTATTTTAGTCTTTCTCAACATTTGGTGGGAAGTATCCAAACCATATACATGGTAATTCAATATTATTTCATTTAATTGACTAACAAAAAGAAAAAAAAGTAATGCATCAGCAGCCTGATCCTCCTTACTTACTGCAATATTCCTTATATCTCCTAAGGTAAAAGAGTAACCAAAAATTGAAGCCATATAAGAAAAAAGGAAAGAAAAAAAGAGAGAACTGAAAGAACAGTTATAAGTTGGTGATACAATTTAATATTTACCTGGCCAATTTGTTATGCTGTTTTAAAGGTGATTTCAGGGCAGCATTTATCAGCAGGAGATTAAATATATCTCTCTGAAAAAAAATTTAAATAAAATTTCCAAGTGGAATAGAAATATGAATCCTATTTAAAATCAGTCATCAAACTAATTCCTGATATTTTAATGTCAACATTTTCAGGAATAATGTTTTGTAAACATTACAGTAAGTATTTTGCTAGCATTTAAAATTGTCCATTTAAAAATTCTTAGTTACAGTGACTATTATACAACTCCACCAATAATCCTGTAATAAAAATACTTGCAGAAATTCCTTTTTGTAAAAATTTACCTTTTATAGGCAATTTAGAGAGATTGATTAAAAAAAAGAATCAGCTAGCCTGCCTTCCCTATAAATTCATGAAAGTAGTCAAATCGATGAATACTGCTTCCTAAAAGCCTAGAAAGTTAAGTACTCCAATATTATGGCCTTATGCTTGACTTAGATAACCTTTGTAAATCACTGTTGATCTGTTTTGTCTGAAACTGTTTTGGTTTTTGTAAAGGATTTTGTCCAGCTCAGGGCAGATGCAATTCAATAAGAGCAGGTTGGAGATTTTGGAAGCTGCTGTGGTGAGTGTTATCCCTCGATATTTTGTTGTTTGGCCATGGTCTCCTTTCTTTGGAAAGGAGAGTATACAACCTTCTGTCCAGAAGTCAACAGGGTCTGATTGATAAACTTGATTGCAAAATATGAGTAACTCATTGTCAAAGTCATCTGTCAACCAGACCTTGGCAGGGATGTTATTAAATCCACAAGCATTTCCACACTTTATTTACTTCTTTGCAGCTGCCAGTTCATTCATGTTAAAAATTCCTTTCTTGATGTTGAGTTCTTATTTGATTATTCTTAGCATGGGTTTCTCTGCAATTGTAGGCAGCTTGTGAAGTAGTTCTTCAAAGTGCTTTTTCCATTTGCTAATCCTCTCATTTTGACCAATAGCCTTTAGCTTGGCTTTGCTACAGCTTTTCAGTCACCAATTTCATTGACTGTTTTCCATGCAGTCACTGCTTCTCTACAGGTACATTCACGATAATATCAATTTTGGCTTGCATGAATGCTATTTGTTCCAAGTCATCAACAGGTGGCCAAATTCTAACCATCCACTGTATAATTGAGGGTGTAAAAGCCAAGAACCTCAAAGCTGTGCTTGTATGTGTCAATTTCTCCAAAGCCTCCATCATGGCAAACTCAAAGAGATCATGTTAGCATATGGGATCCCACAAGAGACAGTATCAGCCATCATGATGCTGTATAAGAACTCTCACTCAATGGTCCAATCTCCTGTTGGAGATTGGGAGTTTTTCAACATTGTCACGGGAGTCTTACAAGGAGATACGCTTGCCCCTTCCTTTTCATCCTGTGCCAAGATTACGCCCTGCGAACATCTACTGATCTAAACACAGATCTGGGGTTCACCCCTTAAAAAGCAAGAAGTTCACGTCACCCAGTACAAAAAATAACAGATATAGATTACGCAGATGACAGTGCTTTGTTGTCAGACACGATTAATAAGGCTATCAAAATTCTCCATCTCATTGAAGAAGTGGCAAGCGAGATTGGTCTCTACATTAGCGCTGGCAAAACAGAATTTATCAGCTAAAACCAAGAAGGAGAAATTAAGTTGAAAAACGGCAACAATATCAAATCTGTCCAGGAATTTGTTTACCTCAGCAGCAACAACCAGTCAATGGAGAGAGACATCAAAATCCACAAAGGCATCTGGAAGTCCTCCCTCTTTGACAATCTTAAGAGGAACTTCTTTAAGGAACTTCTAATCTGTCTTGCTCTACGGCTCAACAACATGGACACTAACGAAACACCAAGAAGCATCACTTGACGGAACATACACAAGGATATTACAAGTTGCATTGGACATCAGCTGGAAGAAACATCCAACAAAGAAACACCTGTGTATGGACACCTTCCTCCTATCTCACAACAGTGATAGTTGGAAGGAATGAGTCAGGATAATCCGAGAAGAATTCTCAACCTGATGATGATGTAAATCAATTCCTGCTCTAGCAGATGGGTTTTGTCTTCATTTTTGTTTTCAAGCAAGACAAAGCATTAAATTGAAACCAGATGGTGTTATCCTTTGTTTCCTGTTTAGGATTTTGTTTCTGGTTCTTTCTAAAGTCTGCTTCAGCCCCTGTACTCCTAATGTCTGTACCTGAATTCAGAAGTTTTTTCACTATTTATTTCATTTTTTTTTTCTTTCCTCCACCAATAGGAGTAGATATGTTCACCTATCATCTGATTCAAACTCTTCCTCAGTCTTTTAAAGGTTTGTCTCGTGTTTAGGATTGAGTTTACAGTTTCTTCTAAAGTCAGCTTCAGCTCTATACACCTAACACTTGTTCTTTTCTACACTAATATAAGTCCACACAGTAACTCTCTACCTTGAGTGGCTCATGAGCATTGTATTGGGTGAACATTATAAAAAAATGATTGGGGTGGGGACTGGCTGGTCACATCAATGCCTCAAAAACCAAACTACTGTCATTCCATCATCACTGAGCAGACCCTGAAATTTCACCTATTATGATGAATGAGTGCTCTTTTGGGATGGCCCCATGCCTGAAACGCCTATTGGGACTTAAACTCAACTCCAGACCTCAAGTGGAACTTGTACATAAAATCCATCACTAAAGATACTGGAAGATAGTACTAGGTCAGACCAGAAATGGAATACTGCCAACACCACTGGGATAGTGTTGGTACTGCTGCCATATATGGGCAGTAGGTGTAAAGTCTTCACTTTCCAGTCTCAAAAATGTCTCTGTGTGTTCTTGTGCATGATTAATTATTTTCCACCCTACAACCCCCCCCCCCCGACAAAACATGACCAGCCTCGCTACTATATCACTATTTCTATGGAAAGTGTTCAGAAGAACTACATTCCTTAGTTCCATCAGTTCTAACCTTCTTGGCTAAGACCTGCCAGGCCATGTATATTGTATCAAACTACCCTCATTCTCATTATATTCCATTGGTGAAAATTAAGTTCCACTCAAACAGCTTCTTCCATGAGCTGCTACTTTTTGGAACTGACTCACAAAAGGATGCTTCACTCATCAATTCAATCTTAAACTGTTCAAGTCTAGGTTTAACTGTTAAATTCCCCAAATATCCTCATAAACTGTGCCTCTTGCTCTGTAACCCTCTACCTCGAGTGGCTCTTGGGACAAGTATAGAACATTATTTTAAAAAAATAATAAAAAGATGTGGCTAGTCAACTTGAAGGCACTACCTCCTCCATTAGACTGATGTCTTTGTCATACAAGCCACAAAGGCTGACCAGTTTTGTCTATATTAAATCAATCTTTTATCACATCATGGAGAAACAACCAAATACTTTCTATACAGAGTATTTGCTTAGCAAGTTTTTTTGTGTTTTTTTTTTTTTGTGTTTTTTTTTTTTTACAGGCCAATTTGATTGTGCTAGGAGTACAATTCTCAAGCTTAGTAAATACTCCCTTTCAATGAACTTACCTGTGCATTGCTTCCTCCAATTGTAATGATTTGATAACGAATTGACATCAGAATATCAACAGCTGCATCAAAGTTTTCATCTTGATAAGCCAAAATTGCTTCACACAGTTTTTTCCCAACATTTTGGCTGATAACACAATTGTCTCCTTCTCCATTTCTGCATTAAAGAAAAAACAAAAACAAAATTCAACCTCACTACCAGGTGAAATCTTTTTTTTATATGTGTATAGAGCATGAATCAGCACTTCTACCAGATTATCTGTGAGCTCTGCTTTGACTCAAAATGCTTCCCAAAACTTCTGATTAGGATCAGTGTAATATCTGAGCCCTGTGTGAATAGTGTTTAGAGCACAATCACAGACATACACAATTACCTATTTATTCACTTCCAAATGACAACAGAATTAGAAAAAGCAAGGAAAAGATGGAAATGGAGGATAAGATATGAAAGAAGAAGGGTAGAAGGCGGCGACAGAAAAATGAGAAGAGAAAAGGTGAAAAGAAAGGGATCAAGAAGAAAGAAAGATTAAGACAGGCTTGCTGTTTTAGATTTTACTACTCCTTTACCCCTTTTGGTCTTTTAAAATGGGTGAAACTTTATTTTTTTTTGTAGGAGTGGAGATTGTGACAAACACCTTATACAGGAAGGTAAGCAGATTGATATTATGGTATTAATTGCCTTTTGTTTGCCAGAATAAAAAAAGACAAAGTACCAAAAACTTTTTCATATTTGGTCTCTTGTTATGTATTTTAATTTAAAATTCCAAAATTTGATAACTCAATGCATAACTCAATATTGCAATCAGATATAATTTTACCTCTTAACACAGTGACTACCAACCACGAGTTAGCTTGTAGTCAGTGTCTTATAAAAACTGTCAACCACAAGTTATCTTGTGTAAACTATGAGGAGTTATCTGATGCTTAACATTTTCTGATATATCTTCATATACAGGCAAGTTTATTTATACAGCATGTTTATTTATACAGCAAGTTTATTTATTCTTTGAAGTGATACTTTTAGGATGAAAACAATGTTAAGACTTCAGTTGAAGCTAGAAATCAACTCATAAACATGTTTTTTTACCAAGTTGGTTATTATAAAGTTGGCATTTGAATGTCAGATTTCAATAATTGACCTCTGACAGTCAACATGCTAAAGTTTCAGATGTGACAGTTTTACATGTTTAAGGTTTTTTTTACATGTTTAAGGTTTTTTTAACATTAAAAATTTCATATACATTTCAAGAATGTTTATTTTGTGTTAATATTCTGTCAGGTTTTGAATAAATTTAACTTTCAGTTGGACATTATTTTTTTTTTTTTATTCCTTTTCAAATGGATAACCAAACTGATCTTCAAGAGAAACAGGTCAGGTAAAAAAAAAAAAAAAAAAAAAATGAAATAGTCCACATTTGCCTAAGTAGGAATCATAAAACTTTCCCTTTTATGAACCTTTTGTTAGCTGGGGTTTCTTAGGAAACTCCTATCATGAATGAAAAATCACTTTGACTTGAACTTCTTTGATCTCACAAACATCCAAGCATCACATCACTTACAAAATATTAAGAGCTAACCATCTGTCATTATTGTAACCAATAAAAAAAAAAAAAAAAAAAAGAAACAATGAAGAAGGGGTCTTCAATAATCACCCTATTTTGGGATCAGAGTGTTAAATTTCTATAACATCAATGATTTGTGATAGAATTTAGAGTGGAAGAAGTTTTTCTTTTAAATCCAGTGCTAAAAGTGAGAACATGATAAAATTGAATTTATACATTTTCTTGGTTCTTGAGAATTGACAAAAATAAATAAATAAATACTATTAGATTGTTTATTGGAATGGTTGGCAAAACATCAGCTAATTACCAACAGATTCAAACTTTATAAAATGATAAATAATAAGGATTTCCTTTTAGTTGGGTTACAGATTTTAATAATTTAGTAAATGTTTATAAATTTATGAATAAAAATTGTTTTCATATTTATTTCTTTAGAAATTGGTAAATGATAAATATTGCATTGCTTTTGTTTTAATACAATTGTATTAGTTTTTAGAATGTTGTAAATATAAAATTATTCTTGTAAACAAACAATCTAATAAAAGGGTCGTGTGGTCCTTGCAAACATATCCCCATGAACCCTTCAGTGGGTCATGTTGGAACCAGTGTGTTAAGCATTTTAAAATTTTTCTTTAAGAATCTTTATTCAGGCTGAAAATGATATTTTTGTCATAAGTTCAAAGTATAAGAGGGGGTTCTGAAAAGTTCTCAGCTTGACACCTTTCCCAAATTCAGATCAAATAGTTCTGCTTTGGGTGGAAGGGATTCTTGGTTGAACTGAGAACTTTTCAGTACTCCCTGTAGACTCACTTGATAAAGTCTTGCAAGGATTTTAAAAATCTAATAGCTTCATTTTTATTGTCACTTCCCAAACAGGATATTATAATATGAGCATCATTGAAACTAAGAACGTGGTCATCAATATGAGGCTGGAAAATCTCAAATGATTCTTTCCACTTGTCACTGCAATTCACGCCTGTTTTAAAAATAAAAAATAAAATGTTAAAAAAAAAAAAAAAAAAAAAAAATCTAAAATAAATAAAAAGACAAAAATATCTGAAATAGTTTTCCATAGATCATCAATCAAAGCAGTCAAATTTAAAAATTTTTTTTAATCATTTCATCCCAAGCAAGGCAATAAAGCCACCAAAGTGCAAGAGGTTACTGAGTGCTAGAGAATAAGAAAAAGGAGAGAGAGGATAATTTCATTTTAAATTCGTTTTTGTCTTAGTAATCTATAACAGCAAATGTAAGGGATCTTATATATTTATGTCACGCAACTCGATCCTTCTTATTAATGAAATGATGTCTCATTAGTAAATAGTTATAAGTGTATAATTGCAAGGGAAAGAACAAACAAAAATTAAAATTTCACCATGTATTGATCAAATTTCAGAATATATACACAGCTGTGTGAAAGGGTGACAAAATTGTTGATATGCGGTTCTTTAGTTGCCATTGGTAAGGAAAACAATTAGGTGTAAGGGTGTTGTCATTAGGGCTGAGCATTGATCAATTTATTGGGTTGGTTGGCCAAGGTCATGATTGGTGTCAGGAGATCTACTTCAAGATGATTAGTAAAGCTAAGTGAAGTGTTGTTGGTAGGTTTGACGTATGCTTTTTTTCAGGGTTGAAATTGACACCAACAAGGTGTTTGATAGGTTGGTGGTTGTGTGGAGTCCAAAGGGTGTTGAGAAGCCAAACTGCCTCTGTTGTATTGGTGGGGTTGACAAATGTCACAGTGGTGATGAGGGAGGCCTGAAGTAGATAGTGAAGCTACAAATCTAACTTCACTGTTACAAGTGGTGTGATTGTGAAGCATCGAGTAAGTTGTCAGTAAAGTTGAAAGTTGTCCGATTTGTCGAGTTGGTTAGGTGAAATTAGTGAAACTTGGGCGAGGTCATGGTGGTGACGATGACAGCATGCTAATATCGGCAGGTGGCCTCTTGGCCTGCTACTGTGTGGGAAAATTCTGGTGAGATTAATGAAGCTTGTGTGAGGTCACAATGGTGATGAGAGAGGCGATTATAGTGGTGCTGATAGGTGGCCTCTCAGCCTGCTACTGTGTCAGTCATTTATGAGGGGGGCTTCCTTTTAAGCAAATCTGGTGCCCATCCCCTGGGTAATCTATTTTTGGCAAGAACGTTTGTGATTGGCTATTGTATTTTATTGTGGAGATTTGTTCAGAGCTCCTGTGCAGAAAACAACTTTTGTGTTTTGCTTTCTTACCATTCACATCCAGCTTACATAGAGTGAATTGGAAAGAGATCTAATTGTAGTAGAGTATAACAGTAGTGAGATCAGGCTGCTAATACATTGCTTTTTAGTTCTTTTGTTTCATGTTAGCTTTCTTTGGATATTTCTATATGTCTTAACCCTGCATTAGTCACATGGTGTTTTGTATTAAGTACTTGTAATTCATCATTGGTAACTAATTCTTTTTGTTCCCTCCCACTACTCTCCTGACTAAGTGAGAATCTGTAGCATAGAGTTGTCGAAGTGGGAAGCAGACATCACATTGCCATCTTTGAGGTGTCCTGTCAACCCACCAGACTAACAAAGGTAAGTTTTCTTAATTGGTATTTTATATATATATATTATATATTTTAAATAAAAACAGACCACTTTAAGGTTCCATGTAATAAATTATATCACCACAGCCCTTTTAAAGGACTGCTGATCATCAGACTTTACTTCCAAACAAAAAATGAAAAGAAAATTTACACATTTTTGACAGGCTGTATTAAACATATGTAAATTTACGAAGTGAGGGGGGAGAGAGAAGACATGAGTGAGTTAGCAGATATTGACACATTTAAACGGTTAACATAACGGAAGTTATATATTTATATCAAAGGGGTAGAGAAGAAAAAACCCAGAGAGAGAAAAAGAGAGAAGGAAGTTAAGAGAGAAAGTGTCACTAATTTTCTTTATAAAACAAAAGGCTAGAAACAGACGTTGTCATTTTGTTTTACTTTGAAAGTGTTATTTTGGGGGTTCATAAAGATCATAATGTTTGATATAAATTTGAATGTCTCTAAACTGTCTACAAATAATTTAATTTGATGTTTGTTAGGGATTTAATTTTTTGTTTTTTTTAAATTTTGGGAATTTTCTATGAAATAGTCGATTAGAAAAATATTCATAGAAAGTACATTAAAAGAATAAAATTTTATTTTAAAATATAAGTTTACTTCTAGTAATCTTTTTTTTAATCACTTTAAAAATTTTTATTATTGATTATTAAGTTGACATCTCTATCCATTTGAATTTTGTTCAGGAATTTAACTCGTGACTGTTTCTAGATAGGTAATCTCTTTTACTTAAGTTAATGGGGTAATATTTGAAGGTAATATTAAAAGATCTTGCTCTGTCATATACTGTATACACACCCATGCAAATATCACATGTACACACACACACACATATATATAGTGTAACCCGGATATAAGAGAGTTGTCAGGACAGGAGAAGAAGTCTCTTATATCCGGGTTTGGTCTGTTTTATATACATTAACACAGGCTCTAATTTGGGACCAGAGAAAATCTCTTATATCCGGGTTTCACTGTGTATATATATATATATATATAAAATCACTTTTTCAGTCCTGTAATTATAGGTTTAGCTAATGTAATATCTTTCTATTGATGGAAATATATTGCAGCTATTTTTTAAGAATAAAATTTTTTTCTATTATCATATTGGTGTGTTTCACCTGCAATTTACAAAATATTCATTGAAATGAAAATGATAATAAATTTGTTGCATAAACATGTCGTAAATTGTAAATTGTAGGTATTTATGCAACAAATTTATTATAATTTTCATTTCAATGAATAATTGTATCTTCAGTTGAAGTTTTGATTTAATGTCTATTGTAACGGAGATTTGCCCATTACGTTACCTTTTACAGCAGTATGACAATATTTTAGATAATTGTAACACTATAAGCATTTTTGCATTGGGATGTATAAACACCACAGAGGACTATCCATTTTTGAAAATCTGAGGTGATTAATGCAGTGTTAAAAAGCAGAATTCTATGCAACAAAAGAGGGAATTGTATAGATTCTTATATGCTAAGATCTTTTAGGATGTAAGTGATCATAGCTCTCCCTAATATATTTATATTCGCACATAATGTCATTTTAAATCCACGTCTTCCTCATTCAAGTGTTCTTTGAAGTTTCTTTTTTTTAAGGTGATGACATAGATATTCATAGTTGGGATAAGAATGCTCTTGAACAGAAAATCTGCATCTTCTATCAAGTATTCTAAAAAGTAGGATTCGAGATGAATCTTCCCAAAACAAAAACTATGATCTGCAACTGGAATAAAAGCAGCAATAGCAAAAAAACACAATGTGGAATTAATAAACTCTGAAATCTTTAAATAATTCAGTGAACCCTTTAAATACTTCAGTGTATGGATCAGTTATAACAAATTTAGATGAGGACATAAAGAAAGTGAACATAGGCTGTGCTTATTTGGTTTCAAACCAAGGCAATCCATATAGTTAAGGATTGCCTTGTTACAAACAAAACTGACTTTAAAGCAATGTATACTTATTATTTAAGACATCCAGATATTAAGTTTTAAAATTTATATGAAAATTGCAGGTGACACAGGCAGAAACTATGCAGTCTTTTTCTGTCAGAAATGCTTTCATTATTTCCTGACGCTCCTCACAAAACCTTCCTTCATGATTTTCAATGCATTTCTATCACAAAATTTACATTATACATACAATAGCCTTATTCTATCAGTAACCTTTTAATTCCTGACCCCTGATAATACCTTTTCAGTGTATTTATATTGCAAAATCATGAGCAATGCTTTTACATTAGGTACCTCTACTAATTTGGTATACAATGAGATTTAAAATGAATTTTTAAAAATGTAAGTTTTCTTGAAGCTTTCATTTTAGTTTTAATTGAAAGCTAAAGGATTTAAAATTTACTATTTCCAGTAAGCAAAGTACTCTGTGGTGTATTTCAAACAGAAATTATATTGATTGGAATTTATTTTTTTCTTCAGTATAAAAAAAAAAAACAAAAACAATGAAATTGGCCATTTTGACACATTTGTAAACAAATATTAATTCTCAGTTTTAAAAATCTTGCAAAAATATATATTTCTGAAACATTATTTAAATTAGCAAATTTAAAGTTAAATTAATCTAATTTGAAACAGATATTACTGACTTATTATAGCATAAAATGTTGTATACAAACATTTCTTAACCACAGGGCCTTGTTTTTCTGATGTGACAGCTGAATGACCGCTGAACATGTTCATAATTAAGTATGGTGGAGCACACAATAAAATTTGCATGAGGGTTTTTTTTTTGTAAGTGGGGACAACCCTTAAAACACGTGACCTTTTAATGATAATGTTAGGTTTGAACATCCATACTTAGAAATTCTGCATGTATGTACACATACTTAAACAAATTGAAATTGCTTCAAAAATATCTGGGATTGTCATATTGTAATAAGCTTTACAATATATGATTAGTAAATATAGTTTTACTTAATAACAATATTTCCTAAGAGTTACCCCACTGAAACTGAATTTTAAAAGATTTAAAACCTTTAAGCATTATTCAATTTAAAATTGTAAAAAAATGAAATCAAATCTTGTAAAAATTTATTTTTATTCAAAAAAATTTCTTTTCTTCACATAATATTGTCTTTAATATATCTTATTCATAAAAACAATTAAAAGCTTCTCTAATTGAATAATGTCTTAGTTTTATTGCAGTTTTCTGTAAGACGAGGTCCAATTTTGTAAAAAATATTTGGTGATTTAAATTCTTCAACAAATTCTGCTTTTAACTAATATAGTCACTAAAATTTATCACATTGAATTTCCTAAGTTTTCATAAAAAATTGTAAAGGGGTGAAATATTTTTACCAGGATTTTCTAATAAAAACATTTCAAAAATAATCTAATTCATTCGTGAATAAGTCCAGA